ACTTTGTGTTTTTGTCCTTGTTATTTTGAACTAAACTATCCGTCTGCCCCTGCTTTGGATGTCCGTCAGATGCCCATTGAATAGATGAATTAAAAAAAATCCAAAACTAAAAAAAAGTCCAAATGCCCACACTGCCCCTTATCCCTTTTTGGCTATTTCTCGACTCCACCAAGACACCGACCGCATCGGAGAGGGAGGGAGCGGGCGGCGCGTGGTTCCAGGCGGCGGAGCGTGCGGCATGGGTGCGGTGGCTCAAAGCAGCGTCGGCATCAGGGCGGGCGGAGCAGGTGCGGCATCGGGGCGATGTGGGCGCGGAGCGGCCTAGGACGCGGGGTGGGTAGCGGCGGTGCCTGGTTGCGGCTGTCGGCAGAGCCTGGCGACATGGACGCGGAGCGGGCTGGGGCGCAGGGGCAGGCGGAGCGGCATCAGGGCGGGCGAAGCGGGTGGCTCCGGTGCCTGGGCGCAGCTCTCGGTGGCGCCTGGCAGCGGGTCTCCACGTAGCTCGTCTGCAGGCTCTGGTGGGTCTCCTCTCGGCGTGGCTTAGGCACCCCTCCTGTTCTTCTCCCCCACCTCTGGTTCTTTTGGGCATGGGAGGGGCATCAAGGTGCGAGATAGCCACGTGGCTCAGTTCTGCTGCACGTGGATGGCGCCGACGACAGCTTAACGCACGGGATCTGTCAAATCGACCAACATGGAAGAGCAAAGGTGGTTTCAGCAAACCCTAACCATTATCTACTTTTGGGTTTTTTGCCAGAGTGAGTGCATTGTTGATGGTTTGAGTTGGATAAACTAACCGCATACTACTTCTGTGGTTTGTAGGCCAAATAACAGGGGTATACGACTTGTAGTTAGAATTCGATCTTTTTAGCTTGCCAAACAATGCTCCAAAGTCATGGCAGCAGGGTAAAACTTTGCCAACTAAAGTTGTTGATGACATACATAGCTTTGGGCTGCTGCAGTTGATTGATTTCATAGCTGAGCATTGCATGTGGGGGTCTAAGCAATACATAACCTTATGACGTGATTTGGAAAATGATTCATTTGAGATGAAAACGGATGAACATCTTTTAGAGTGGTTTGTACTCAATGTAGACAAGGGGGTAGCTTGCATCAATGCCCGATAAATGATTTTGAAGGGCCACTGCAGTTTTCACCAACCAAACATAGGTGTCATCCTAATGTGAGGAGTAGAATACACCTAATTGAGGGGAGCACAAATGAGGGAGCCACCACAAATGAGGGAGCAACAAATGATGATGATGATGAGGGGGTAGGAGATGAGGAGGATGGAGATGATGATAAGGGCATATTCTCTGATAGCAGCTATGACTCTGATGATGATTGCTCTGATCCATAGTTTGATCCTGATGGTGAAATACTTGATGATGTAGATGAGTATGATGCTCCCATGTTTTCATATGATCCTGATGATCCATGCATTGATGTAAATGTGGTGTTTCCAGATGTTGATCAGTGCAAGTCTGTAGTTACACATCACGCTATCTTGCATGACCATGCTTTTAAGATTGTCAAAAAAGATCAAGAAAGATTCAGAGCCATATGCAAGAGAGCTAATAAGGGTTGTAGGTGGACTTTTTTCGCGTCTACAAGCAAGAAGTACGTTGGATGCAAGGTAATTTGGTCCTCTTTCCATAATGTAGTGTATTGACTTGAGATGTAATTTGCTAACAAAATATTGGATTGTCATTATTATGTTGTAGGTGAAGACAAGTGGACCAAAGCACACTTGTGGTTCTTTCAACAAGTGTGGTCAGCCCATGGCCTCAAATAGATGGGTTTGTGATAGAGTTATGGACTTACTGCGGGATGACCTTGAAATGGGTCCAAAGGAATTGCAAGATGAGTTAAAGAAGAAGTACTCAGTGGATGCTCCATATGATAGTCTCTATAAAGGAAAGATGAGAGCACTTAATATCATATATGGGAAGTGGGAAGATTGTTATGACTTGATTCCTACTTATCAAGCTGAGCTTCTGAGGTCAGTGCCTGGCAGTGTGGTTGAAATGGAGACTGAGGAGCACAATGGCCATGTATGTTTCATACTTTCATGAGATTCTTTGTTGCTCTAAAGCCATGCATTGATGGGGTTTCACAAGGATGCAGACCATATATTGCCATGGATGCAACTCACTTGACAGGCAGGTCAAGAGGTCAGTTAGCAGCAGTTGTTGCAGTAGATGGTCACAATCGGTTATTCCTAGTGGCATATGGGGTGATTGAGACCGAGTCTAAGGAAAGTTGGACTTGGTTCGTCCATAACTTGAAAAAAGCAATTGGTACTCTTCTAGGTGTGTACATATGACTGCTATTTGCCTGTTTTCCTTCAAGTTTAAATTGTTGTTACCTAACATTTGTCAATTATGTCACACAGGTTTGGTCATCAGTACAGATGCAGGTAAGGGAATTGAAGTTGTTGTTGAAGATGTCTATCCAGGAATTGAGCATAGAGTGTATGAGGCATTTGTGGAAGAACATGAAGAAAAGTTACAGTGGCACTCTTTATGGAAAGAATATGTGGGCAGCTGCCAAGAGCTTCACAACTGACAAGTTCAACTTCTTCATGAGGAATATAAAAGAGAAGGATCCCAAGGCACTTGAATGGTTGGATGAGAACCATCCATACATATGGAGTAGAAGCAAATTCTCAGAAGATTGCAAGGTAGATTACATCAACAATAACCTTTCTGAGAGTTTCAATAGTTGGGTGTCAAAAACAAAGGAACATCAAATTGTGGAAATGCATGACAAGATAAGATAAATGATCATTGAGAAATTTGTCTTGAGATCAAAGAATGCTAGAAAGATGTCTAGAAAAATAATCCCAGATATCATCAAAGATCTGAATGCTAAATCTAAGGTCATTAAGGACCATGATGTCTTAATTTGTGGGCCTAGAAAAGCAAAAGTGACAGTCAACAGATTTAGGCATGTAGTTAACTTGGAATTAAAGACATGTACCTGTAGGGCTTGGCAAGTGATTGGAAAGCCTTGCAGCCATGCTCTAGCTTTCATTGCAAAGCTTAGTAGAGAGGTTCAAATAGATGACTTTGTCCATGAATACTTCTCTGTTGAAAGGTTGAGAAAGGCATATGCAGGTACTTTCATTCCAATGACATCCAAAGATCTTTGGCCACGTGTTGACTTAGGCTACAAAATCCATAAGCCTAAATTGAGAAGGAAACCTGAGAAACCTAAAAAGTCTAGGTTCAAGGCATATGATGAGGTCAGCAGTAGCAAGAAAAGAAGATTGTGTTCTGAGTGCTATGAACCAGGGCATTTAGCCAAGACTTGCCAAGGAGGTTTCACTGCTAGTCAAAAAAGAAGGCTCAATTCTTCACAACATGGATCACAAGAGGACAACAATGACCCAATGTAAGTCATGGTTCTATTGGTGCTCACTTCTACTCGTGGCATAATCTGATAATATTGAAATCATGCTTCCTCTCTTTTTAGTGCAAGTGCTACTAGGAGGGGAAGGGGAAGGGGAAGAGGAAGAGGAAGGGGAAGGGGAAGGGGAAGAAGAAGAGAATCAGGAGAGGGCAGCAGTGAGCCAATATAAGTCGTAGTTGTATTGGTGTACTTATTTGTTGATGTAATCATTACTAACCAACCTGTTCAATGCTTTTCATATGGAGGGGAAGAGGAGGGCGAACAGGAGGAAGGCTAGCTAGTTTGTTAGGTCTCTAGGTGGTCCTTGAATGAGATGGATGTAGCTTTTGTGCACATGTTTACATGGTGTAGACTTGTTTATTTTGTGGATATGTTGACATGATGTAGTTGCTTTTTGTGGACATGTGACATGGTGTAGACATGTAGCTTTTGTGGACATATTTTTTCACAATTTTTGTGGACATGTTGACATGTTGTATGGTAGACTTTGAAATGATGTGGTTCTTCATGATTTTTCTTATGTGTTTTATATGTGCTTAATATTATTGTCATGATGCTAGCAAAATATAGCAAATGTGCTGCCAAAATTTTGAATATTTATCAATATTAAATCTGAGTTCAAATAATTGCAAGTTGTGTCAAATATGTTTGACCAAATTTAATCAATTGTCAGCATACAATAAAAAAGTCTAATTCCAAATCAGGATAAAATCATAATTAGGCATTACAAACAGGGGCAAAATCGTATGGGCATTCATGTCCTTTTGTACAAAGTTTAACACCGTTAGGGGTGGATGACGGAGTAGGGACAAACTGGTGCTTCGTTTTGAAATCGTAGGGGTAAATTCACAAACTAAAAAAAGGGATAAAATCACAATTTTAATACAAAACCAGGGTAAAAACGCAAGAGCCCCTAACAATAATAGCTCGTGTTAATTCATAGTAATAAAGAGGTCGATCAGTTCTAAGATAAGATATAACGACGTATTACCTATGTGTGGTCACAACTCACAACCTACGAACACGATTGCCAGTATATATGTAAATAAACAAAGCAAAGATATTGTTAGTGATGGCGATGAAGCTTGACGCGCACAGCTCAGTTGCGTGCTGACTGACACGCCCGCCCGCGCGCGCGCGCGCGCGCGCGGCGGCCAGCCATGACCATGACACGACGCCACTAACCCAAAGCTCCGTCCTGTGTATTATTGTTCGCCGTACGTACGTGTGCCAGCAAATAAACAAGCAAACAAACTGGTTTCATTTCCAGTCGATCACCCCGGCGTCCAGTGCAGCTGCGCTCGCTCGCGAGGAAGAAAGCAAGCGCCACCGCCACCGCCACCGCCACTCCACTCCCGCTCTAGCTATTTATACCCCCCGTGCGTCTCCTTCCTCTAGCGTCCACTCCACCTTCTCTAGCATAGGCGGCATAGCTACAGTACTAGTCTATCCTACAGCGGCTGCCTGCTACAGCACTAGTCTACTCTAGCTCTACACTCTACTCGCAGCGCGCGACATCGTCGCCATCGGAAGCGGCAGAGCCGCTAGCACCGATCGATCAGATCAGCAGCAGCGCCGGCCGGCCGATCATGCTGCCCTCGCTGCGGTACCTGGCCGGCACCGCGGGGCCGAGCGGCTTCGGCTCGCGGACGACCGCCGAGGAGGCCACGGCGGCCGGCGACCTCCGCCACATCACCGCCATCATCACGGGCGCGACGTCGGGGATCGGGGCGGAGACGGCGCGCGTGCTGGCGCGGCGCGGCGCGAGCCTGGTGCTGCCGGCGCGGAGCCTCAAGGCCGCCGAGGAGGCCCGCGCGCGGGTCCGCGCCGAGTGCCCGGGCGCCGACGTCGCCGTGCTGCCGCTCGACCTCAGCTCGCTCGCCTCCGTGCGCCGCTTCGTCAAACGGTTCCTCGACCTCGGCCTCCCGCTCAACCTCCTCGTGTACGTATGCTGCTGCTGCATCCATCACCACAAACTCGATCCCTCCTCCATGGTCGGCTGCTAACATATATAAAATCCATGCAGCAACAACGCCGGCAAGTACGCCGATCGCTTCGCCGTGTCGGAGGACGGCGTGGAGATGACCTTCGCCACCAACTACCTAGGCCACTTCCTGCTCACCCGGCTGCTGCTGGACAAGATGGTGGAGACGGCGCAGGACACCGGCGTCGAGGGACGCATCGTCAACGTCTCCTCCACCATCCACAGCTGGTTCCCCGGCGGCGACGACGACGCACTCGGCTACCTCGACCGCGTCACCCGCAGGAAGATGTGCGTGCCGTGTAGTGCTCTGTTCCCCCCCTCATCTGAAGCTAGCTAGCTGTATATTCGATCATCAGCTCTGACTGACTTGGCTGGCTGGCCTCACCAATGCAACAGACCGTATGATCCGACGAGGGCCTACGCGCTGTCCAAGCTCGCCAACGTCCTGCACACCAGAGCGCTCGCCGACCAGCTCAGGGAGATGGGCGCCAACGTCACGGCCAACTGCGTCCACCCCGGTATCGTCAGGACCCGCCTCATCCGCGACAGAGACGGCATCATCACCAGTACGCCGCCTTCTCTTCTCTCTTCTTGACCTTTCTTCCTGAGCAGAGCAATTGTTGGTTCCATTGTTGACGAAGACGATCTCATGTCATGCATGCTTGCTCACTGCAGACACAGTCTTCTTCCTGGCGTCCAAGCTCCTCAAGACGATTCCTCAGGTCAGTTCACTACTCCACTTCACCACTCACCAGTCATCTGATGATCATTCAGTCTGCCCTGTTATATATGCTACTCTGTTCCGTTCCATGCGTCTGTCTGAGCTCTGAAACAAAGCCTGGTTCTTCATTCAGGCAGCTGCGACGACGTGCTACGTGGCAGTGCACCCGGCAGTGTCCGGAGTGTCAGGGAAGTACTTCGCCGACTGCAACGAGGCCTCGCCGTCCAGACTGGGCGCCAGCAGCGAGGAGGCCTCCAGGCTCTGGACCTTCTCTGAGACCATAACGGCAGAGAAGGTTCAGAAGAGTATCCATGTTGTCAGCACTGGATTATTCCGGCTCCAAGCTCATAGCTCTAACGCAGACCGCGCCATGGCGCTCGCGGTGTAGGAGCCTCGAGATCTGCAAGTTTTGATCGCCGCCGATGTGCCCCTGATGAGATCACACATCCTGAAACATGGAGAAGTAGTACTAGAATGCAGTAAGCTAGTGATATATACAGAATAAAACAGAAGAAAAGCCATAGTAGTGTACGCCTTACATAAATATATTCCAGTGTAGCTTTATGCCTGCCTATAAATATATAGCCATATGTATACAAGTATATGCTAGTCTGTAATTGGTATTGCCGTCTGCAGCTGCAACAGTTGAAGCATGGGTTTTTCTCCTCCATTGAAGCTTTTGGTTTGCACTGTTCAAGACAAAGATGCACCTCAGCACAGTTTTCCCTTCCGTCCATGTGTTGCACTTGCACTAGATTAGATTACACTAGACCAATGTTTTCAATTCCACTAACCAAGGACAATGATTTCATCCATGGCACTAGATACTCTCCCTTTGGCCCCTTGCAGTAGTGGGCTTCACTATTCGCACGTCATCTCTAATCATGCGTGGCATTAGCATCATATAGATAGGTTGTTTGTAGGTGAAGAAAAAGGGACCAGGCCCCGTTCGGCTTGCTGAAACTTGGCTGAAAAAAAAACACTGTTCTGGCTGAAATGTTGTGAGAGAAAAACAATGTTCCGACTAAAAAAAGAAGTCGAACAAACCGAATTTAAGGTAAGCCGAACTAGGCTTTCTCAACCACAACAGGAGCAGTTTGCTGAATTTTCTATCGCGCCATGCACGGCGGCAGCACGGGTGAAGAAAGGTAGCAGCAAAGGAAGGAAAGAACAAAGAAGGTTAAACATGCATGCTTGCAACTCAAGCTCCACTATAGGTCTACTGCCAATTTGGCAATAGTTGACTAGGAGGGGCTCATGGCACTACTCCTAAGGCGATTACTGTTCACACATGATCTATTAGGTAGAGGATTATAAAATGATGGGCTGGGAATACTCATTGTACCTCTAACTAGTTGTTAAACACCCCCTCTTTATGTTCCACTAAGAGGAAAGCCTCTTTCTAGGTAACCCTAACACATCAGGAGATAGAAGAATTAAGTTGGACACTTGCAAGCAAGCAATCATCCCTTGATTCCTTGCATCATAAAAAAAAGTCACTTTCTACCAATAAGTACACAACTAAACCTACTAGATATGTACTTAAAATCAAGTGATTGGCATGATTTAGGATATCATTAGCAGGAGATTGGGCTCATGATGGCAGCAAAAACTTTTGATGATTAGCTGAAAGGCACAGAAGATTCCTGTGCCATAACGGGACAACTTAATAATGCACCGCCTTTCACAGAAGTGCCAAATCCCAAATGGTTCGGTTTGAAATGGCTAATGATGTATGAATGAATAGATAGATCAGTAGCTCTAGCTGGATTAGGATGGACCATAATTTAGTCCCACTATTTGAATCAAGCAGTTTAATGAAGACAATGATCTCTATCAACTAAAATTCACAACCTATCTGATGGACCACTTTGTTAACCAGTGCAATAGCTCTAAAGAATGACCTCCCTCGTGCTTGGCACGGCACGGCACCCATATGACAAATTTTGGTTTCTTGCAAGGCATTATCTGCATCAAAAGAATACATCTTAAAGGGGCCATATTTATTTTCCATTTGAGTAGCAGGGCAGAAGAGTCTAAAACTCCACCAAGAGTAGACTACCGTCAAGGCATCACAACCGTTTCATTTTTTTTCTGTTGATTTTACCAGAGTCTGTAACATCATGTTAATGGATCTTCTCAAAAGGAAATTAAATGTGGGTTAAATTATTAATGCACATCTATTTTATATATGTAACAAGATTAGGCTATTTTCCTTACTGAACATTATGACAGTTAGTCCACAGCACCTGGCTAGTACTTCATGAAGTCCTCCAGGGTCGGTCCATGCTTAAGCAGTTCCAGTAAGAACAGGAGTAGAGTAGAAGATCTCATTGGAACTGGGAGGTGCACACATGCACCTTCATAAGCTCGAAACCTCTTAACCTAGGTAACGAGGTAAGATTGTGGAAAAAGGATAAACAGTGGTTGCTTCCTGAACTGTACTCTAAAATATCTCAGTAAGTACAAGTAATAATAGATCAAAGTCAGTTCGTATTTCCGAAGAAAATTGAACACTGCAATAAAACTAAAGTTTATAAAACATGAGCAGTTGCTTTACAACATACAACAATAGGAATATCGTTGGCATATACTTGGTACCAACCGGCTAGTTTAGCTGATCAGAGGCTACAACAAAAAGATCAAATTAACAGTAGCTTTACAAGCTAACTGTGGGGTTGCTAGATCCATTTAGTCCTCCCACAAGCCTTCTCTTTGCTGTTTTAGTACGATAACACCACACCTCAAATGCCTCGGTGAGATCAGGATACCTGAACTGCTCTGCGTTCTTCATCCACTCTGACAGGATATCAGCCTGATCATCCGATGGCAATGCTAACACCATCGAGACTATTGCACTCTCAATATTCTGACACATGTCTGAATCCATCTGCAGAGATGTTTCATCCTTGCTATTTTCATCTAGCAAACGTTTTGTCATTTGAATATAAGGAAGCCATCTCTTCAGGAGATGAATTCTAGATGATGGTGGGAGAATCACTGTGCCATAGCCAACAGCATCCAGGGCCTTTCCAGTCACTTCGATAAGCTTTGCCTTGACAGCCCACAAGCCTGAGCTATACTTCTTGTCCTGAACCACTGAAAGAATATGGTCCGAGATTTCTGACCAACCAGAAACAAAGGCATGCATCATGTCAATCTTGGCCAACAGATTAGCTACCCAGTCAATGTCAGCTAAGCTACTCAGAATCCCTTTCTCTGCTAGATCAGGTGATTGATCAAACTCAGTTGCCAACAGATCAAGTCCAGTCCTAAGTCCGGATAACAGTTTTGTTGTACCTTCCTGCACCACAGATCTGACATCTTCATCCATCGTAACCAAAGCAGTTTCATCATCTTCATGGATCATAAAGTCAATTTGCTCCTGAGCAGAAGTCTTGAGGTCATCCAAGAAAGGAGGGAATGGTGTTTCCATGCACGTAGCAAATCGTATGGCAGAGATGAAAACATTCTTAACAGCGTCTGCACTGGGAGCATGCAGCCGAGCTAATAAAGACACTGCATCTGAGCCAAGGCTCCGAGCTACTTCTAAAATCTCCTCCTCCTCATTTTCATCCCATGAGGCAGCTTCAATGTATGCAATACATCCTTTGGTAACCAACTCGCATCCAAGCGAATTTGATGCTCGAAGAACACCAAGAGCTGATTTAACAGAATCAAACGAATCCACAACTGATTCTCCAGGAAGATACATTAACTTCAACATCTTGACATAATGGTCATACTCAGTTCTTGGGCACTCAATTTCAATGCAACTATTAGAACGGATATCATTTTGACCAAGCCGGTCTGTAAAATACTTGCTGTTTTGAGAAAGAACAGATGAGTGGCAGGAAAACCATTCTGGCTGCTCATCAATCAGTTTAAAGCAAACACGGACATCACTTGTAGTATGGTCATCAAAGTTATACTCCTCAACTAGTTTGACTGGCTCCATATTTCAGTTGAGATCACAGGTATCCTTTCTCCATGTTTGTTCACAACAAAAGTCCATGAAACTGCAGAAAAAGCAAATAATTAACTGTGTGAGAAAAAAAGAAAGTGCTGGTTATAAAGCCTATAGCACCACCAACACAAACAACATATTTGGATATTTATGAACATTGTGTCATTATGTGACGCAATAGTAAAACTTAAATATGAGTTAAGTGCCAACATTCAGTGAAATGTGGCAACTGCTTTTACAGTAATTTTAGCTACAATAATCCATTTTGGGTATGGACAATAATACAGCATGGAAACTTCTAGTCTTATAAACTTTGAACCATATGATTTTACAAGTATATTTAATGCATATCATGATGTGGGGTTTTTCTGTCTTGCTTCTATTGAAAAGATAGTCCATTTCCTTGTATTTCAACACAACCTCAGTAAATGCCTAATTTCTACCTCTCTACTAATGGATTTCATTAAAAGAAGCTAGGGTATTAAACACTTGAGTCGAGACTTGAACTAGTTACATACTAGTCAGTAGTAAACTATCTCGGCTGTCTTTGCTATTTTAGCACTAAAACAGCATGCTACAATCTATGACAGGTCCTCTGCTGTTTCTTCACCTCCTGCACGCCAGCTACCTCTACTGTGAAGGGCTCCCATGACTCAACTTTGGCTGTCCCTCTCCCAGGTTCAGCAGCACACCCCATGACCTCCTGGAGCACTGATATACCTGTAAGGTTCCGTGAGGTGCCACGGTGCTCGAGGCAGCCACCGACCCCGGCAGCTGCGATGACGGAGGCGGCAGCTGAAGAGGATCTCCACCTTCGAGTAAGAGCGGAGATTTGCCGGTTGGGTCGGAGCTGCGAAGATCGAGTCGGAAGCGAGCGGCGGCAGCCGGGGCGCTATGGACGTCGGGTCGGAAAGGAGTTGGGGCGCCGGCGATTTTGCCGTATTATTGGTTTAAATAGGTGGGACGGCGGGGGCTGGTGGGCTTGGGGCGGCGGAGAGATCGGAGCCCGGCGGACGGGCGGAGGGAGGGAGGGAGGGCCGGCGCTATGCCGCTCTGGGCGTCGTTTTTTCTGTCGTCCCCTAGTCCCCGACGGAAGAGGAGAATGGGGAAGGGATAACTGATAGGCAGGGCCCACTTGTCAGCAACACATCCCACATCCAATGTATCATCCCCTCAGAATAAAATAAGGAGTAAAGTGCATTTTTCAGACTTTTAACTTGCACGGGAGTTTAGTTTTCAACCCACCTAAGAAACCGGATATCGGACACCCTAAAACCAAACAAATTTAGTCTTTTACCTAGCTTCAAAGGTGGTTTTCTATTTTCAAAAATAATAATAACTTGTTTTGATATATAAAAATTATAACTTATGTATTTTAAATAAAAAATAATAAGAAACCAATAACATTTTTCCTAAAAATATTATCTAACTGTTGGTAATATATTTACAAATATTTGGAACTTATTTAATTTTGTTCCTATTGTTTTATTGCTTGTGGACTGGTTTATTAGAAACATGAACAAATAAGATTCAAATGACTCCAAATAGATCAACAATGAATAAATGATTTTTTAGGGAAGCAATGGTATTAGTTTCACATTTTTTATTTAAAATAAATAAGTTATGCATTTTTAGAGATTAAAACAAGTTTTTATTATTTTTTAAATAGAAAACCACCTTCAAAACTAGCTAGAGGACCAAATTTGTCCGAATTCGATAATTGGAGGGTGTCCTGGTTTCATAGTTGAGAGTTGAAAATCGAACTTTAGTGCAAGTTGAAGGTTGAAAAATGCACTTTACCCTAAAATAAAACTCTCTGTAGTAAAATGGAAAAATGCCTAGTCGTAACCCAGAGGCTTGGTTGAACTGTTGAAGGCACACGTGTGTGCACAGGATCTGAAAATCTTCTTTGACATTAAATGTGAAGTAGGAAGTAAAAAATATTTACTCTTTCTTGTTTTACATACTCTTGTCATTACACAAAAAAATTCAAGATAGTATCAACTTTTGTCAAGAAAAGTGGATTACACGAGTGTCAATGATTGATGCTAGCATCAAGATCAAGGGTGTATACATTTGCTTTCAAGCTCTACCATTTCAAAAGGTACTAAACACTAATTCAGTGCGTGCCAGTGCCAGAGTACTGAATAGAGCACGGGAACTGACTCTATTCCGTTTAATCAGGTAAGGGATCAATAACATTCACTAGCACTTTGGATTTACCACTTTTATTTGAATCACAGGTACAACAGCTCATATCTACCACAACAAAATGGATATCTTAAGGCTTTCCTAGTGTCTCCCTAGTGCATTGTTCTCAAATGGAACTAATACAATCCTTTCAACAAAGCTTACTAAAAAAAGTAGCATAAGAATGACTTTACACAGAAGCGAATGACAACAAAGCTTGCATGAACAAAATGGAGCATGCAGCTCAGATTAGAGACATCAAATCATCATCACCCGTAAGTTACACAGATGAAGGGCACCAGTCCTAGTAGGGTTCCAAGGATTCCACAACTCTCATTGCTTGTATTTGCAAGGTCGTCTGCCTTTGCTCTGCATCCAAGGTGGAGCCAAACCGGCTTGCTGCCCATATAAGTGATGCGCACTGCTCACCAAACAGATTTTTCATTTGTTCATGTATGGGAGAGTTTTCCTTCACATAAACATGTCCAATGAGCAACAATAGGAACTCCCCGCATTTCAGTCTGCATTGAAGCATCAAGTGAAAAAAACTCTAGGTCATTTCAAAATAGAAACCAGTTGGTGCTTCGGAGAAGCCATCACAATGTCAAACAGAGCCTCAACTTTTCATAGACAAATATCTTTGCAGCAAGCAAAAATAATTTTCAGAGGTATAAAAAGCTTTGTCAAGCCACCAACAGAATAGTTTAAGTGGCTCCTTTTCCATTTGATCATTTCACTTGTTTATGTTTCTTCAGTTCACACGACTGATAAGATACAGATAGATTGATTCACCAGAATGATATATTGTTTATATGCACAGTGAAAATAAGTTGCATTCAAATTATGGAGCTAGGCATTGAGACAAAAAGAGAAAAAAAAGATCTGATGGAACAATACTTGCCTTATATGCCTTTCCACTTGCACATCCTTCAAAAGTTCAGCAACCTTTTCAAGTCCACTGTATTCCTCGAAATCCTAGAGAAGTAGTCATAAAATATAGATAAGCTGAATCACAGAAGCCAGAAACAACCAAGGATACCAATCTATTAACAGTTTTATGACTCTTTTCTTAAGTTTTCATAAGTCTTGGCCCATGCAAAACATGCTTTGAAAGAAAATCAACCAATCTACTAAACAACAGCAACACTCGAAGACAAAGACATTTCAATCGTATTAGAGATATTTACTATTTTTTTCGAAAAAGCTGTCCTACATTCAGCACCTGTATACTCATCTTAAGTTGGCACAAAAAAATCAAGTTCCACATATACAAGACTGGAAAATTAATAGGTAAAGAGGTAAACCATACCATCTGATTGGAGGGTGAGTCCAACATAAGCGATATCAGTGTGTCCAAGCAAACTCCTTGCTCAGTTGGACCTCGGCTGGCTAATATATTCAAGAGTACCTACACCAAGTTAAGTTAACAACTGGTCAACCAAATAAACAATGGGCCCAAAACTACATATGGGGACGATATCCAGTTAAGTTGTGGTTTATGCTTGAAAAAAAAATGCCTTCATAGTTGAATAGGAGCTACTGGATTATTGCCACAAAGAACAGAACTTCCTCGCAGTGATCTCATCTCATTGAAATCCAGAAGTAATAGGCAATAATTTATCAGAAAAGGATTGCGATTACCTTCACAGCCTTGTATTTGTGGGCCAGAGCTGTGCATCGGCTATATAAAAGGCAACAACCTTCCAAGACTCTAAGTGCAAGAGCAATTTCGGAATCCGTAGGGGGGCTTGTAATCTTCATTGGTTCCGTTCCAAATATATGATCCAATGTCACAACAGGATCTTGCTTTGGTTGATGCAACGAATTCTGAAAGAGAACAGGAATAACTGTAGTAGACACAAGTTCATCAGTAAGTGCTGCTTTCTCGGGTATAAGCATAAGAATTATATCCAACCAAATGCCTGAGCATATTAATGTCTTTTGAGATTTAAAATTGCGAACTTGATATGCGCATTACAACAAGAATAACTACTCCATTGTAACAATGCTCTCCTGAATTATACTTGTAGAAAGTTATGCATAGACCACTAGATGTGAGAATGATCATATAACTCCAAAAATTGATGAATACAAGATATGATTCCCACATGAGGATCCATCTTATTTGGCTGTTTCATTGTAACGGTCATAGACAATTATGAGAAACTCAAACTACGTGACCAGACAGGTAACTGCAATAATGAAAAAAGCAAATTAAAGATTTAATAGGTTTGTTTATGTTATAATACTAAAACACAGTTACCAGGTTTGTTCTTCCCTTGAGAACATTATAATTGGACAGAGCAAATGCAGTCGTTATTGCATTGTCAACATTTAGATGCAATTCAGGAAGTCCGGAACGATCAAACAGAGTCATTACTAGTTAATTTTTTAAACAAAGTGGGAAAGAGAGCTGCCTATATTTAATAATAAAAAAAGGAGTAAAAACACCAGAGAAAGCGACAAATGGAAAGAAGAAAAAAGACTAACACTGCAGCTTCCTAGACCTCCAAGCTACCAGCATGAGCTACATAGTCATTATGGATTCCACTCTTCTGACTGGGTATTTGGGGGCATCTATTACCTAATGCTGAATCTAGGGCTCTAACTAATGAGCCTGAGAGCATTTCATCGATTTAATCTCCCCTACTTATCTTACGATCTAGCAAGAGCAGCAGCACTGCTCCTAACTTACCGCCTTTTTTTAACAAGCCAGCACTACATAGTGCCAATTTCATTGAGTAGATAAGAGTCCAAGTCTTTAGTTTGTGTTCAAGCATTATTCATCAGATTTCAAACAGCCATTGACCATTGCATAAGAGATTGGTGTCACCTAAAGACAATACATTGCGTAGCCGCACACAACTACCCAAAATCCAAATAAAAATCGCATCAGATCACCGAAATGGGGCGGAGGAACGATACCTTGGAGATCGGGGATGGATTGGGAGTGGCGGAACAGGAGCAGCCGCGCGTCGTCGGCCGCGGAGTCGGTGGAGCGAAGGAATCCGAGCAGGCTGCGGAGCCCACGCGCGCGGAGGAAGGAGAAGTCCGCCTTGGCGTCGCGCAACCCCGAGCGCAGCGCCAGCGTCACCTCCCGGTACAAACGTCGCCGCGCCAGCGCATCCGCCAGCTCCCGGCCACTGCCACTTCCTCCTGCCCCATCAGCGGCCGACGAAGAAGACCCATCCTGTCCTGCCGGCTCCGCCTCCTTCCGACTCATCCCCGTCGCCTCCGACCGCCGGCGACGTCGCCCCCCTCCTCTTCCTTCCCCGTCTTTCACAGCTCGCTATTTTTTTGCTTTCCCGTTTTTCAGAGCCCACGGCCCATCAAGGCCCAGAAAAGCCCAACGCGATCACACGAGCGGGACAGGGGACTGGGGAGTAGGCGAGCTCCTCCCCGCGCCACCGCCAAAACCCTCAAAACCCGAGACGCCGGCGGCGAAGAGGAGAGGGCGTAGGCGGAGATGGCGACGCGTGTGAAGGATGTGGCTCGGCGGTCGACCAAGAAGTACGTGGAGGAGGCGCTGTACCGGCGTCTGTTCCGGAAGGGGTCGACGCCGCAGGCGGTGCGGGAGGAGGTGGACGGCTTCCTCGACAGCCGGAAGCGGGCGTTCAAGTGGGAGGTGGGCGTTTGCGTACGCCGGATGCGGCGGAACGCGCTCTACCGCCCGGCGCTCAAGGTCCAGCACTTCCTTTGTGTATCTCATTTCGTGATCTCGGTTTGGGCCTCGTGAAGTCGTGCTGCTGCGGGTGCTCCTGTTGCTAGATCTGATCATGGGAGTAGGATTTGGACAGGGGACAGATATGAATACGATGGGATAGTGCGGTGTGACTCATTGGCAATATGAAATTTCTTGTCTTGCAAAATTTTTGTCTCCGGACCTGGAATGCTTAATTTGATTTTGGTAGTTGGAGTATTTTAAGAAATATTTCATCTGATTGCTAGTGGTGGGGAAATTGTGACGGAAATAGGCTCGAACATTGGGAACGAAACTCCAGGTTGCCATTGTTTGTTTTTGTCATTGCGGAATCAGTACAGTTTCGTGCTTCTAAGGCAGGATATTCATCAATTGCTCAGCCATGCAAAATAGTTCTCAGCTATGTGAAATTCTTACTGCCTTCTCTGACCTTCGGAATGTGTACTTGGAATTTTAGGTGGACTTGTTATATAGCTGGTTATTGAGAGCTAAAAGCTGTTAGATTTGCACAACACTTGGATTAGTTCATATTCTTTGCTATGCAATTAGTCCCATTTTGTTGTTCAATGAAGCTGCATAACTTGTGGCGCTGGTCTTTTCATTGCCATGGTTAGCTACTTAGCTGTCCTGATGGTATTTTATCTGATATTTTATCAAATGACAAACATAGGCACCAGTTTCTTGCTGTTCTTCACAGTTCGAATCAGCTCACTTTTGCTTTCCTCTTGGTACTTTGTTTTCCTAATGACCAAGGTTGCATGCTCAAATTTCCTTTGTGTCTCTTAAGAATCATCCTATTGAACTTAATCAAAAGTGCTTTCCATATGTTCGGCCTCTCTTTATCAATATGTCATGTTTTTATGCTTCACTTCATCTTGTCAACTTTTTTTGTGATGTTTGCTGATCTTTGAAGAAGATTATTCATTGTCTCATGCCATATTTTTGTCGGTTACTTTGTTCCATAGTTCTTGCAAAGTTGATTCTTGATATCCTGCAACTCTAATATTCCCTTAAGATGCTATGTAAATGGTCCTTTTCTAAATCTAGCATCCCCCCAGAACTTTTCATGTGCTCTGCGGAAACTTTTCTGTTTTTTTATTGTGCAACTAAATGATCCTTAGCTAATTGGGAAACTGACATTTCTAGAAATGCTAAATTTTTTTACCTGAAATTTTTGTTGATATTTAGTATGATGTGATCATTGCAGTTAATGGTCATTGTGTTATTTACTTAATCATGAGTTTCTACAGAGGCACCTGCACATTTATTGTCTTATTTAAACTTTTTACGTATGTCAGTGCTACATAACTGTGAAGAATATAATGGTTAGATTATGGTAAACTGTAGGGCTTGTAACTATTACGTCAATGTAAATATTACTGCTTGACATTTTACTGTAGAGGTTTGTCCTTTGCAAAGGCTCAAAAATTTCCTAATTCTTTGCTCATGTGGCAGTAGCTAGTGTGATGAACCAATTGATCCATGATCCTATCATTTCATACCAAGTTGAAGACTTTTTATTGCTACAAGTTCTCATATGAGCAACCCCAATAATTGCATAGCATGCTACATATAAATGCTATTGGGAAATTATTGTATTTGTGGCAATACTTACAAAATCATAGATGGTGCGTTCACAATGTGAAGTAACTCTGGAATATATAAGGGGGCACATTGGCAGTACGGCATTTATTCCAGCGATATATATAGTTATTTACAATGCACCACATACACACTGTTAAAATAGATGACCAGTAAAAATTGAACACCCCAAGTGTGTAAGCACTAAAGTTTAGTGTCCAATGTATCTATCTGTATATATGTGGCAGTACTTGCAGAACCATCGTTTACTTACTCATAAATGCTATCGGCCATCACTGGTCGTACTCATTGTGAATAACTGTACTGATTGCTAATAAGTCATTTCTATTTGAAATATTCTTGTTCCCTTTCATTTACATGTAAATTTCTTCCAAATGAAGCAGCACATAAAGTTGCCATTCAGATCGAAATCATTATGTAATATTGAATCTTGGTTATTTGCTTGTGATTGTTCTGAATTTGATCAGCAGACTTTACATGGATCCTTTCTCTATTTTGTTTATTGATTCAGCTTTCTGAAGTTATGGCGAGAAGAGGCATGAATCCTACTGTTAGTGATCAAGCAATCCGCCTGGATCTCGTTGCCAAATCGAGAGGCATCGCTGCTGCCGAGAAGTACTTTTTGGACCTCCCAGAAACTTCCAAGACTCATCTTACATATGGCGCTCTTCTCAATTCTTACTGCAAAGAGTTGATGACTGAGAAGGCCGAGTCTCTTATGGAGAAAATGAAGGAGCTCAACTTTGCTTTCACTGCCATGTCCTTCAACAGCCTAATGACAATGTACACCAAAGTCAACCAACCTGAGAAGGTCCCCAGTATCATTCAGGACATGAAGGCAGATGACGTATTGCCAGATGTCTTTACTTACAATGTTTGGATGAGGGCGCTTGCAGCTCTCAAAGACATACCAGGGGTCGAGAGGGTGATTGAAGAGATGAAACGGGATGGCCGTGTTGCTCCTGATTGGACAACATACAGCAACCTGGCTTCCATATACGTTGATGCTGGGCTGTTTGAGAAGGCAGAGGCTGCTCTTAAGGAGCTTGAGAAGCGGAACACCAGCAATGACGTGGAAGCCTACCAGTTCCTTATTACATTTTATGGGCGTACACAGAATTTAGTGGAAGTTCACCGTGTCTGGCGATCACTGAAGCGGAGTAACCCTAGAATGGCAAACATGAGCTACCTTAACATGATTCAGGTTTTGGCCAACTTGAAGGACCTTCCTGCCGCCGAAGCCTGTTTCAAGGAGTGGGAAGCCCAGCACATCCATCCACCTAAGACCAATGCAAAGGACCCTACGGAAGATAAGACATCCACTGCAGATCCAGAATCTTCAAGTAACCTGCCTAATAATCAGTCTGGCAAGGCAGCGCAGGACCTCCAACCGAAGCATCCAAAATATGACATCCGGGTAGCAAATGCTATGATCAAAGCATACATTACCGAGGGCATGCTTGACAAAGCTGTCGCCGTGAAGAAACGCGCCAAGATGCACGGCGGAAGACTGAACGCCAAGACATGGGAGATCCTCATGGAGCATTACCTCAAGACGGGGGATCTCAAGATGGCCCATTGGTGCGCGGACCGCGCGATCAAGAAGGGGCACAGCAGCGGCAGGATCTGGGTGCCGCTGCCCGCCGTAACGGAGACCCTGATGAGCTACTTCGAGGTGAACAAGGATGTCGACGGGGCCGAGCAGTACGTGGAGGCTCTGAAGAAGGTGCAGAAGGATCTGGGCGCGCTGGTGTTTGAGCCGCTGGTGCGGACGTACGCAGCTGCCGGGAAGAAGTTCCCCGGGATGCGGCAGCGGCTGAAGATCGAGAACGTGGAGGTTGGGGAGGAAACGGCCCAGCTGCTTGATTCTATCTGCGGTGATCAATAGATGGCTTCTTGTCTTGCCCTTATGTTTCTGTCTCAATAACAGCAGGATCCTTTCGAGTGCTGGGTTATTTGTTCTGCGAGGGCTGTGATGCCTGTATGTACTCTGAAATTCAGCTAGCGTTTCCATTCTTTTCCGTCATCAATCAGGTTCTACTGGCGCGGGGCTGTCACTGAACTGCACCCCCAGGCCACAGGTTGGAACTTGGAAGTCCTGTAACTCTCAGTGGTTGGCTCAGCTTAGGGCTTTAGGCGCGTTGATTTTTTTTTTCTGTTTTATTGTCCCCGCGCCGATTCGAGTTTTGGTATCTTGTACTACTAACTTTCAGTTGAAGCCAGTTTATACGAGTCATAAGAAACCAAACCTGGTGCTCTTCTGATGACCTGGCAGATTGATACTCATGTACTACTACTTGGCAAATTGGCATGCTTGATACATGTGTACTTGGTGTAAGTTGAAGTGAGCCCCTCCTTCCTGCTCCAGGCATGATTTGAGGTGGAGCAGATACGCGATGGATTTTGCCGGCATTTGATAGTCAACGGATTGGGCAGAAGTAGGGACATCCTTTTTGGCCACGATCGGATCGCACGTGTCGCGTGTCGGACAATTCCATTTTCATGCTCATCTTGCTGATTTTCCGTTCCAAAATTAAGTCACTTTGGCTTTGACTTTTTTAGTAAATTTATTTTGCTATGCATATAGATAAATAATATGTCTAGATGTATAGTAAAATAGATGAAAAAAAAAATCAAAGCGACTTTAATTTTGAACGGAGAGAGTAGATGGCCAGGGAAAGGGAAGAGGCTGCCCCCCAAGTTCAAGTTGGCATAAACTAGAGTGCCTGATTGATGTCTTCCGTGTAGCAGGAAGACGAGAGAGCAGCGAGGGAAATATGCACACTACACAAGTGCAGTTCTGTTTTTTTTTTATAAAAAAAACTCTTCTTGTTTTGCACACAAGACACGAGAAATGCATCCGGGCACGATGCGCCCATCTCGTGATCTGGCCGCTAGTGAATGATTTTGCTGCAGTGGGTGCGCAAAAGCCAGATCATATCTTATTCCCTGCATCGGAAAATAAAAAAGGAAAAAGCGTCGATGTAGGCATGTAGGCTTCCATGGTCGTGCAGTGCAGTGCATGATCGGATCGTTCTGTTACGCTGGAAGAACATGCAAAAAAAAAAAGCGAGACAATTAGATTTGGCCTCATATATGCGCAGGGCGTGACTGGGCCGGGTGCATACGAACGAACATGACAGGATGCACGCGATGCGACGCAGATTCCATAGCCGGCAAGGAGGTTAACTCTGCGCTCTGCATTGCAAGCATCCCTGTCCGTACGTGGCGAGAATCAGTGACGGAAGTAGATGCTACTTCCTGCTGTTATTGAGACGAACATAATATCATTAGATTAATGGTCGAAAATGTTTTCATGATAAACATGTTTGAAGATACAAATGTCGATTCTATCTTTTATAAATGAAATCAAGTCTGATAAAATTTGACTTCTCGATGTGCATTCCTTTTAGACAATACTTATGCCATTCCAAATTGTAATCTAAGTCGTTTTGGCTTTTTTAGATTTATAATTTTTATTAGATGTCTATGCATAATGTATATTTACATGTATAGCAAAAAGCTACTCCATATGTACCTACAAAATCAAACACTACGTAGAAAAAGGTTTTTAGGGGCGGCCAGTAACCCTCTGTAGAGGCGGTTTTGCCAGCCGCCCCTGTAAAAGGGTGGCTAAAAATAACTGATTTGTAGGGACGGTTCCCAGTCCGTCCCTACAAATCGATTTGTAGGGGCGGCTGGTGTTATCAGCCGCCCTTACAAATCCGATTTATAAGGGCAGCTAGATATTGAGCCGCTCCTACAACTCAATTTTTAGAAACCACGAAGAAAAGAAAGGGGCAAAAAAATAGGAGGTCCCCACCGGGAGCCACACACACCCTCACTCTATGGTTGCAGCATTTTTCACGATTTTTGCACACTTTGCGCTGGCCGGGAATTGAACCAGCGATCTCTCTCTCGCGCTCCATCTCCTCTACTACTACACCTCACATTTACTTGTGTCCACAATCTATTTTGATTCCCCATGTATTATACAAAACTAAGCATAAATTAATTGTTTGAGGCCCTAAACTAATTCAAATGAAAAAGTTATCAACTACAAAGTTTTATAACTTTTCGAGATCTACAACTTTTATTTTAGTAGTTTCTCCATCCAAGATCACTTATAAAATTTGAATTTCAAATTTGAGAAATTCGAACGTAGTTTTTCATGACAAGGTGGTTTCAAATGAGGAAGTTATCAACTACAAAGTTTCATTACTTTTCAAGATCTACAACTTTCATTTTTATTGTTTGTCCATCCGAGGTCGTTTAAAAAATTATAATTTCAATTTTTTGAAAATTCAAACGTAGTTTTTCTTGACAAGATGATTTCAAATCAAAAATTTGTCAACTATAAAGTTTCATAACTTTTCGAGATCTACAACTTTTATTTTGGTTGTTTCTCCGTTCGAGGTCGTTTACAAAATTTAAATTTCAAATTTTAGAAATTCAAATGTAATTTTCCTTGACAAGATGATTTCAAATTAAAAATTTGTCAACTATAGAGTTTCATAACTTTTCGAGATCTACAACTTCTATTTTGATCATTTATTCATCCGACATAGTGGTAGTAACATTGTTCATAAATGTAACATATCCCTCTTATTATTTATGAAACTATAAGAGAGATATTTAAATTTTATGAACAATGTTATTACCACTTTATCGGATGAAGAAATGACCAAAATAAAACTTGTAGATCTTGATAAGTTCTACAACTTCTATGTTCATGATTTTTTCATATGAAATCAATTAGTGTTCCAAAATAACGTTTGGCCTTCTCTATGTGCTCCTCTAGATATTGTTTCTCTTTTGCCCCTCTCTTTTTTTCTATTTTTGGGCCGTCGTTGTTTTTTAGGGAAATTTCGACTTTTTTTTTTATTTTTTTACTATTTTTTCTTCACTTAAGAGCACAAAAAAAGTAACCACATAAAATATGAGCTCACACAAGTGAAAGACGTGGCATGTGGAAATTTCAGAAGACGTGCTCAAAATCGATAAAAAGCTTGTGACCACGAAAAGATGATCTTATGACCAGTTTTTGACCAATTTAAAATTCTCCGACCCCGGCAAAGATGGGGATGGATGGATCCGAAATTTTTTTCTGATCGATTTTGATATATGGAACGTCGAAATCGGAGTTCGTATGCGAAAACTAGACCAGTTTTAAGAATTGGCTCCGAATTAGAGGATAAAACGGGAACAATAATTTCAAACAGTATTTTCAAGTAGTAAATGATTTCAACTGAAAAAGTTGTCAATTACAAAGTTTCATAACTTTTCGAGATCTACAACTTTCATTTTAATTGTTTCTTCATCCGAGGTTGTTTACAAAATTTGAATTTTAGTGCTTACTTTTTAATATTCGGCGTCTATTTGTAGAGGCACTTCAATATTGAGCCGCCCCTACAAATCAATTTATAGATCCAGCCGTCCCTACAAATCGGCCCATTTGTAGGGGCGGCTGATAACACCGGCCGCCAGTACAAATTCATTTGTAAGGGCGGCTCATTTGGCAACCATTTGTAGGAGCGGCTCTATCACCAGCCGCCTCTAAAAAAAATTCATCCCGTTGCTAAAAAACAATTTTTACATAGTGAAACCCACTTAAAATTTAAAATGGATTGAGTGATATATACTTTGTAGTTTTTTTCTCCCTGGATGCATGCATGGAGATCGTATGTACCTAGAAGAGGTGGGGCCCATGGTCTCGGTGGACGGACGATGAGTGACCCGACAAGCGGTGTAGTCGCGCTCTCGATCGCGCGGATGAATCAATGTTGACGGTTAATTAGCTCATCTTTTTTAGGTACCCTAATATCGGTCCTCGACACGTATGTACCTAGAAAATCAAAATGACTTAAAATTTAAAATGGACTGAGTGATATATACTTACTTTGTAGTTTTTTTCCCTGAATGCATGGATGGAGATGCAGGTAGCAGCAACGCACACCCTGTTTGTTTGGGCTTATTTGGCTTATAAGCTGTATTTTTCAACCAATGAATAATATTTTTTTTACACCAAATCAGCCTATAGTACTTTTAGCCATAGAGTATCAGTTAAGGAAGCATGGTGTCGACACAAGACAATAGTGCTCCAAACTCCATTCCGAATGATCGGAGCCGGCACTCCTGGCAGCGCAATGATTTGCATCAAGATAGCTAGGCGAGGCGAGGTCGTGACTCGTGAGGCAGTAGCCAGTAGGCGCCGTCCCGTCCCATCCTCTCGAGGTCTCGATCGCCACGGGCGCGCCAGGCTCCGCGCGGGTTCGGAGCGTCAGCCACAGCGCCCCGATCCCATCTCGCCGAACGCCACGCCACGCCACCCGCGGGTCCGGTTCGGCACGGGCAGGCAGCAAGCTAGCTGGCTGCACGGACGGAGGCTGCGCGCGGCGCAGGAGAGGAGCAGCACACGTCGGCTCGGCGGCGGGGAGCCGCAAGCGCATGGCACGCTGCGTTGCTTTGACGGTCAGCCAGCGGTGGTGGGCAGGCCGTGGATCTGGCTGGGTCTTTCGTCTCTTCTCTGCTGGCCACCACCTGATGCTATGCTACCGACTACCTGAGGGCTTCCGGGTTACTCCGGAGCAGGGTGTGTTTGCCTCGTTGTCTCATCGGATATTTGAATATATATATGGAGTATTAAATATAGATTAATTACGAAACTAGTTATACAGTTTGCGATTAATTTACGAGATGAATCTTTTAAGCCTAATTAGTTTATGATTTAACAATGTGGTGCTACAGTAAATACATGCTAATAATGAATTAATTAGGCTTAATAAATTCGTCTCGTAAAGTACTGACGGATTCTGTAATTTGTTTTTTTATTAGTATTCGAATACCCTATACGACACCCTTATATAATACCTCCTAAATTTTAGTCAC